TTTTTTTTTTTTTTTTGATAGAAAAAATGGTTAAAAATTAGAAATTATGTTAGTATCTATTCTTGGTAAGATTCAACTATTTATCAATGTGCAATCCACTGACAATCATGTTGGATTGCAGTCGTCACCAATGAATCACAATAAAAAATGCCATGTTCATTTATCATTTATCTACCTTTTGTTGAAATGTGGAATCATTATTAATTGGTTCGTTGTCGCCAAGTCAACATCATTTTTAAACCTTTCGTAGTCTTTTGTCTTTTCAGTTGGAGAGCTTTCTTTCATATTTGCTTTCCTCGTACATAGGATATAGTCTATTTTCAAAGGATATTAAAATATATATTTTTTGTATTAATTTAGTATAATTAAAAAAATCATTTGTTTAAATATTTATTTTAAAAAATAAAATTTAATTTATAAAATAATATTTATTTATAATAAATCAAACAGTTAAGAGTTATATACATTTTCTTAATATTGAAAGGAGACTTTTCCCGATTAAAAATTCATTTATGGAGTTGTCTAGCCTCTACCCTTATGATATATATTAATAAACAATTAATAAAAAATTAAAATACATTTAATATAGTATCTTTATTTAAATTTCTTAAAAGCTTTGATAAAAAGGTTTTAATTTTTCAATTGAGACGTTTGTACCCCTCATAATACTACCCTAAAATATTTAAACCCTCTCTCTCCTCTGCCTTTCCGCCTCCCTCTCTGCGTTTCACATCCCTTTCCTCCCTCCTTGCCATTGCAAGCTTGAGCGATGAGGATGATGAAAACAATTTTGGGTTTTGGATTGTTGATATCTAGATGGAAAATCTTTTCAGAGGACGCAACAATAACTGGGAGAGGAATTGTTTGGAATTGGTGTTTGTTTGATCTGAAAACATTTTTAGTGGACTTCAAAGAGTGAGAAGTGGAAGAGAGATAAGAAGAGATTGTGGGAGGGAAGGAGAGAAGGGTATAAATGTCCCAATAAAAGAGTTAAAATCTTATCATTAAAGTTCTTAAAAAATTTAAATAAACATATTATATTAAATATATTTTGATTCTTTATTAATTGCTCACGGGTAATGTTATAAGGACAACTTACATGCATGTCATTAAACAAATAAATGAATTTAATATCATGAGTCTCACATGAATTAAAAGAACTAATTATTTACATGACACATCAAGTTGTATAAAAAGATATGACAAAAAAATTATACAAAAATCATTTCCCATTACTCACTAACCTGTGCCCTAGATAATTCTTTCATTTATTAATACTTACTCCATGTTAAATAGTTTATTGATATGTATATATATATATGATATTAATATTTATTAATTAGATATGTAAAAAATTAAGTAAAAAATTATTTTAAAATTACATTACTCACTAACCTGTGCCCTAGATAATTCTTTCATTTATTAATACTTACTCCATGTTAAATAGTTTATTGATATGTATATATATATATATATGATATTAATATTTATTAATTAGATTTGTAAAAAATTAAGTAAAAAATTATAAAAAATTAAAATAATATAATTCTTGCTATAAAAAAGTTATGACAAAAAAATTATACAAAAATCATTTCCCAT